GGGTTGATTTTCCCTGAGATTCTTGGAATCCATTGACTATAATAAGAAAACATTCCTACGGCTCTTTTTACCAATTTAGTACTGTGGGGAATATGGAGTTCCCTTAGCGGCTTCATTCGCTTAATGCTAGTACTTTACGTGATAAAAGATCTGCAGCCGCAGATGATTAGACCCTACCTACAAGCCTGGATGAACGCTCTCAGCAGTTTTTGACTATGCAGAAGCAGCTCTTTGATCATATCCGACCAGAAGGTGACAGGGAGCTTGATGAATTTGTAGAATGGCTTAAGTCAGCACTGCGCAATCTTGAGCTACCCCTCTGGAGGAGATGACAGCGGGAGCTGCCCGACGTTATGTACCGATGTATAATTGATAATGATGCTTTTAGGACAAAGAACAAGCTTCCTTGTCAGTCTTCTGCCGGTCTATTCAGTCAGCCTGGAAACTACAGCTATCCTGGTACGTCTGTGAGTTTTTTTTCCAACCTCAGCATCAAAAACCATGGCAGCCTGTACAGAATCCGACCTCGGTCTGGGGCTCGATGGACTCACCATGGATCCAGCAACAGTTTCCAAGTATGCAATCCATCTGCCAACCAGAAGACCATGAGGCGACCTCACCCATTTTAGTTTTTTATTCTCATACATTATCACCACTGTGACTGTATGGAAAGTGTGAACACTAATCAATCATTTTCTGGTTCACACTTTCCATACAGAGGTCATTGAACCGTTGCAGCAGTAAGGTTTAAATGTATAAAGAATATAGTTAATTTTTCTATGTCCTGTATTCAGATGTGTGATACTAGTAGATGGCAATTACAGAGGGAAAAACTTTTTATCAATCAAACCATTCTGACTTAATTCCCTGGTACTTGTGCAGAGCATTTCATTCAAATTATATTTAATTTGGACACATTTAATTCTACTTCTAAAAGAGAGGCGAAAGATACAAAGATACGAACGATGCCTTGTTGACCTTGCAATAGGACAAGGTGTAGTACAGCTTGATAATACATTTTACACGTGCTTTCTTCTATAAAGCAATATGAAAATGAGAGCGGAGATCCACAAACTTCCCATATATATATATAGTAAACGTCCGCCGATCATGAACGTATGATATCGTAAAAATATCGGGCTCGCAGCGTAATTTGTCGTGGATGATCGTAGTGAGAAGTTACCGTTGACGTAAAGAGCGTGGCGCAGGCGCAGGAGGACGGCGTTGTAACGCAAAGAAAAATCAGGAAAAGCTTATTTGTGCGTAGTAGAGGCGTAGCAGTGTCGTTCTAGTCTTCACACTGATGGTGGTTTCCCAAATTTTTCACGATCCCGCTAGCACTGTTCCGGTCGTGGAGATCGTAGGAAGCGAAATAGAGTTTTCGTCCAGTGTGAAGGGACCTGTATACTCCCGGTATACGTCGGAGCTATACGCTAATGTGTATCAGCGACATAACACAAGGCTGCCGTTTCCCCATCCATCTCTAGACTCGTCATTTGGTTCTGCATCTCTAACCCCCCTTTTTACTACCTAACTCACTATTGCACCCACATTTGTATAAATCCCTATAACGTATAAATGGTAAATATTCGGCTTCGTTAAGAGTAAATGAAGCAAATTTTATCTTGATAACTCTATCTGTGACTTTTGTTTATTGGAACAGGTCATCATATCGAATGGTGAGTGGCTGATCAATAAATATCCTTTGAGCGTCCCCATTTTGAAAATTTTTCCAATTTTTGTTCCGTTGTGTCAGAAGCCATCGGTGTGACACTGTCCCCGTGCATTTTTTAAATGTGCGTCTTAAGTCCCAGGTGTGAAAATGTCCCCACTGTTAAAATGTTTCAGAAGTCCCCAGTGTGAAACAGTCCCCAATTTTATAAGTGTGTCAGAGGTCCTCGGTGTGACAGCGTCCTCAATTAAGTGCACGATGTCATGTATAAAACTGCTGAAAACGTCAATTCAAACTTCACAATCTTATATTTTGGATCTGATGCTAAGCGTCTGCAAATTGTCTTTGTCGTAATAGGACGAAAAATGCATGTCCTCAGTTGAATGGTAAATTATAGGTGTCCCCACTCACATTCCAACGCTCGTATGTGTGTGTGTGTCTGTGTGTATGCGTGTGTATGTTTGTGTTTGTGTGTGTATATGTATGTGTGTGTTTGTGTTTGTGTGTGTGTGTATGTGTGTGTATGTGTATTGCATGCGTGTGTATGTGTGTGGTGTGTGTATATGTGTGTGCATGTTTGTGTGTATGTGTGTATGTATGTGCGTGTGAGTGTTTGTGTATGGGTAAATGTGTGTATGTGTGTGTCTGTGTGTATGTGTGTGTATTTCTGTGTGTGTGTGTGTATATATGTGTGTGTGTTTGTGTGTGTGTATGTGTGTATGTATGTGTGTGTGCGTGCGTGTGTATGTGTATGTGTGTGTTCTGGTACACGTATGTCAATGAGGACATGTGTAAGTATACACACCAGTAAGTGAGGACTTCACTCACAACTAAGGACGTCCTCAGATGTAAATTGTATGATTATCGCTAAATTGCTTTAATTTTCAATCAAACATAAAATAAAAAGAAAAAATAAGCAAGTCTCACTCGCCGTCTATTATGAGGAAGTGTGAACTATGTGTGTACATCGATATTATTAAACGCCATTTTTGTGGTCGTGCTATAACACAATATCACCAGTGCGCATGCTTCAAAATCGGAACAAGATGGCGGAATCTGGAGGAGCAAGGTACTTGTTTTTTTCAACATTTTATCACGTTTTACTTTTCATTACATTCATGTTTTTTATTTAGGAAGGGCAATGCCTCTAAAATTTAGCATGAGCTGCCGATCGACCATAACTACAGTCCCAGGCAGGGGCGGATGATGGATTCAGCTTTTTTCAAAGGGGCGTAATTCCATGAATTGCCTATAAAATTGGTAGATTTTCACGCCGAGTGGAGTGATGCAAAACAAATTTGGACGATTTTATGATATTTTATGCAAAAAATGATACTGTTTCAGATCAAAAGAGGGGAGGGGAGTATGCCCTCTACCAGAGTTGGTAAATTTACCAGCCTGCCCGAGGATGCACGGCTGGTAACTTTCAAACAGGGCTTGCTATTTTTTCCCAAATTTGTATAGCTATATAAATAGCAGAAATTTTTGTTCAGGATTGGCTTGAAATATGAATGAATTTGCTACCCTTACATAATTTCCCATTCTCAACTCTAGAAGTATGAAAGCGATTTAATGAAAATATGTGGTCAGTCACTGTGGCTCTTTTATTTCAAGAATGCATGGACCTCATTTGATGAGCAGTTTGCAGTTATAGCCTTCTATTTCCATTTTAAGGGTTCATCATAACAAATGGACAAAAATGGCTGTGTTTAGACCTCAAAAACTACTCTGAGTACAGACTAACCTGTGCAGTTGGAAAAGTTTTAAGGTTCATCATAACAAATGGACAAAAATGGCTGTATTTACACCTTAAAAACTACTCTGTGTACAGACTTACCTGTCCAGTTTGGAAAGTTTTAAGGCCTGGCATCCACTAGATATATAAAAGTTAAATGCATTTTTTGTTTCAGAAAGATATAATCACTTTTGGATTTTGATGGGCATTTTTTTTCCTTTCTGCAGAAGGTGTAAAAATAAACAAACACCTGAATTGCTTTGATACTGTCCACTCAGTTAAACCCTTTAACTCACCTATAGTTGTGTAGATACCTATTGTCTGTCTATTGTCCATGTCAATCAAGGACAATCAATACAATACAATACAGTTTTTACCTGAGAGGGAGCATCTCAAAGTTTTATCCCAACTTAGTTCATTTTTACACCTTCTGCAGAAAGGAAAAAAAATGGCCATCAAAATCCAAAAAAGATTTCATCTTTCTGAAACACAAAATGCATTTAACTTTTATATATCTAGTGGATGCCAGGCCTTAAAACTTTCCAAACTGGACAGGTAAGTCTGTGCACAGAGTAGTTTTTGAGGTGTAAATACAGCCATTTTTGTCCATTTGTTATGATGAACCTTAAGGCCTGGCATCCACTAGATATATAAAAGTTAAATGCTTTTTTTGTTTCAGAAAGATAAAATCTTTTTTGGATTTTGATGTGCATTTTTTTTCGTTCCTGCAGAAGGTGTAAAAATAAACTAAGTTGGGATACAACTTTGAGATGCTCCCTCTCAGGTAAAAACTGTATTGTATTGTATTGATTGGCATGGACAATAGACAGACAATAGATATCTACACTACTATAGGTGAGTTAAAGGGTGTAACTGAGTGGACAGTATCAAAAGCAACTCAGGTGTTTGTTTATTTTTACACCTTCTGCAGGAACGAAAAAAAATGCCCATCAAAATCAAAAAAAGATTTTATCTTTCTGAAACACAAAATGCATTTAACTTTTATATATCTAGTGGATGCCAGGCCTTAAAACTTTTCCAACTGCACAGGTGAGTCTGTACTCAGAGTAGTTTTTGAGATGTAAATACAGCTATTTTTGTCCATTTGTTATGATGAACCTTAATAGTAAAAAAGATTTCTCTGATCACGGAGTATGACCAGTGTTTGATCTATGTTTGAGAAAAGTTTTTTTCATTCAAAGTCCACGATGGATGATTACAATGATAAAAAATGTACATGTAGTTGTAAACAGGATCCGATTATGCATGCATTGTTTTATGTTTGTAGAAATTTTCTGTCCAATTCAAGTAACAAAGACCAACCCTTGTTCGATGCAGGGCTCAGAAAAGACCATAAATAACTCTTTCATGCACGTTATAATATACGACTATATTGTCTTACATTGTATACAGTTCTTTTACTAATTTTGTTTTCACTTTGAGAATATTATTTTATAAATATAACGGGAAAAAAAATTCGCTGAACTATTGTACATTATTGTTTAGGGGCCAGCTGAAGCCCGCCTCCAGGTGTGGATTCTCTCACTTGTTGAGACCCATTGGTAGGCTTGCAAGGTTGGGTCACAGGTAAATACACATACCAGAATATAAACCTGGAATGTGTTTCAAAATACAAGTACCTGGGTTTATATTTAAGCTCATCTGGCTCATTTAGTTATGCTCAAAGTGAACTGTACAAGTATCCTTAAAAGATTATTATCAATTGCGGAAAGATTTTTTATCTCTAAATCCTATCATCAAAACAAGTATTCATGCTTTTGATCACACTGTGAAACCTATTTTATTATATGGTAGTGAAGTATGGGGAATGTTTAATTCTCTTTCCTCTAAATGTAAGAAGGAAGATGTATCTCTTGAAAAATTATATTCAGGTTTACCCGGTGAGAAACTTCACATTAAATTTAACAAATTTATACTTGGTGTGCACAAAAAAACAACAAATGTTGCGTTAGATTTCCAATTTATTTTAATATAATTAAAGCGATGCTATTGTATTGGTATCGATTAGAGAATTTAGGAAGTAATTTTCCTCTATTAAAAGAGGCATATGAACAATTTAAAACACTTCACCAACTGAATAAAACATCATGGTATGGTTCAATAAATGTTATATTGAAGTTACTTGGAATTGATTGTACAAATGCAGTGTGTGAAACCTTTTGTTTTTCTTACTCGCCAAATTGACGAGCAGCTTTTCATTTCAACTCACCAAATTGAAATTCCACTTGCCAGCTTGGAGAGTGACTTACTTTTGGGACTCACCGTCTTTTTCATACATAATTATTAAAAGATATTATTCCAAGTCCACTTACTAAATGTATGTACTTATGTACATTAGTTTTATCCATAACTGGTAACTTGACAATTTAAATTACTATTAACATATAGTAGTCTCAGTTATATAAGGGAGCAGTCAACTTATCTTTTGATTAACTTGGGAGAGGGGTATCAAATAGATTTTTACCACAGCTGACAAGTCAAAAGTTATTTTTATGTCATAACCAGATCTAGACTTCCTTACCTCAATGATTATGGATAAATCTTAGTACAAATGCTGGATTTTGAGCAGCCTCTTCTACTATAATTGTCACTTTTTATACGACCGCAAAAAATTTTTGTGGTCGTATATTGGTATGACGTTGGCGTCGTCGTCGTCCGGCGTCGTCGTCCGAATACATATTGGTTTTCGCACTCTAACTTTAGTTTAAGTGAATGGATCTTTTTGAAATTTGACCATAAGGTTAAATACCACAAAAGGAAGGTTGGGATTGATTTTGGGGGTTATGGTACCAACAGTTAAGGAATTAGGGGCCAAAAAGGGGCCAAAAATGAGCATTTTCTAGTTTCCAGACAATAACTGTGGAACGGTGTATGGATCTCTCTGAAATTATACTACAAGTTTCCATACCACAAAGGGATGGTTAGGATTTGCTTTGGGGGGTTATGGCTCAAACCGTTTAGGAATTAGGGGCAAAAAAGGGGGAAAAACAAGGTTGTCCTGGTTAATGGACAAATACTTTAGTACAAAACATAATTTAAAGCAGTGTAAGGGAGATAAATCAAATACATCATTGAAATTATCTCCCTTACACTGCTTTTAAATTATGTATAAAGTAATGGTTAATGAACAATAAAGATAATCTAAAACAGTGTAAGGGAGGTAATCCAAATACAACGTTTTGGTTACTTCCCTTACACTGCTTTTCAATTATGTTTAAAGAAATGCATATTTATAAAGGAAGACCAGTAAAAAATCTGCAAATGTTTTCATCTTTTTTTTTAACAAAAAAATCCACATGAAAGATTTGACACTATATTTTTATTAATTCTATTATAAAATAGATTAAGTTAGCACTATGGTAAATTTAAATGGGTAATTATGGTTGCCAACTCCATTGGAAATTTGAATTGAGATTATGACCATATCTTGAGGGAAAGAATTTTTTTGGGGGAAAAAGGGGGGGGGGATAAAAAGAAATTGTGGGGGGGCAATTTTTTCTCATTTCAGATTTCAGAAATTAAAAAGAATTATTCTTCAAATATTTTTTTTTTTTCAAATTTCAAATATTGAAAAATTTCAAGAAGTAATCTTTAATTGCACAGTATGGCGCATTAGATTTGTAAAATCTTTGATCACATTTATTTATTTGTTATGCCGAATCTAACAGTGTATTAAGATTTTTAATTTTGGGTCCAGTTTTCAAATTGGTCTACATTAATGTCCAAAGGGTCCAAAATTAAACTTTGTTTGATTTTAGCAAAAATTGAATATATGAGGTTCTTTGATATGCTGAATCTTAACATGTATTTAGATTTTTGATTTTTGGCCCAGTTTTCAAGTTGGTCCAAATTGGGGTCCAAAATTAAACTTTGTTTGATTTCAACAAAAATTGAATATGTGGGGTTCTTTGATATGCTGAATCTAACCATATATTTAGATTTTTTATTTGTGGACCCCGTTATCTAATTGGTTCATATTGAGGTCAAAAGGGTCCAAAATTAAACTTTGTTTGATTTCATCGGAAATTGAATTATTGGGGTTCTTTGATATTCCAAATCTAACCGTGTATTTAGGTTTTTTATTTTGGGTCCTGTTTTTTAAATTGGTCTACATTGAGGTCCAAAGGGTCCAAAATTAAACTTAGTTTGATTTTAACAAAAATTGAATTCTTGGGGTTCTTTGATTTGCTGAATCTAAACATGTGTTTAGATTTTTGATTATGGGCCCAGTTTTCAAGTTGGTCCAAGATAGGGTCCAGTATTTAAACTTTGTTTGATTTCAACAAAAATTGAATATATGGGGTTCTTTGATATGCTGAATCTAAACATGTATTTAGATTTTTGATTATGGGCCCAGTTTTCAAGTTGGTCCAAATTGGGGTCCAAAATTAAACTTTGTTTGATTTCAACAAAAATTGAATATATGAGGTTCTTTGATATGCTGAATCTAACCATGTATTTAGATTTTTTATTTGTAGGCCCCGCTATCAAATTGGTTCATATTGAGGTCAAAAGGGTCCAAAATTAAACTTTGTTTGATTTCATCGGAAATTGAATTATTGGGGTTCTTTGATATGCCAAATCTAACCGTGTTTTTAGATTTTTAATTTGGGTCCCGTTTTTTAAATTGGTCTTCATTGAGGTCCAAAGGGTCCAAAATTAAACTTAGTTTGATTTTAGCAAAAATTGAATTCTTGGGGTTCTTTGATATGCTGAATCTAAACATGTGTTTAGAGTTTTGATTATGGGCCCAGTTTTCAAGTTGGTCCAAGTTGGGGTCCAAAATTAAACTTTTTTTGATTTCAACAAAAATTGAATATATGGGGTTCTTTGATATGCTGAATCTAACCATGAATTTAGATTTTTTATTTGTGGGCCCCGCTATCAAATTGGTTCATATTGAGGTCAAAAGGATCCAAAATTAAACTTTGTTTGATTTCATCAAAAATTGAATTATTGGGGTTCTTTGATATTCCAAATCTAACCGTGTATTTAGATTTTTAATTTTAAGTCCCGTTTTTTTAAATTGGTCTACATTAAGGTCCAAAGGGTCCAAAATTAAACTTAGTTTGATTTTAGCAAAAATTGAATTCTTGGGGTTCTTTGATATGCTGAATCTAAACATGTGTTTAGATTTTTGATTATGGGCCCAGTTTTCAAGTTTGTCCAAGTTGGGGTCCAAAATTAAACTTTGTTTGATTTTAACAAAAATTGAATATATGGGGTTCTTTGATATGCTGAATCTAACCATGTATTTTGATTTTGGACATTGGACCATAATAGATAAATTAAAAAAATTCAAGTTCTTAGACCACATTCTTTCTGTGTCAGAAACCTATGCTGTGTCAAATATTTAATAACAATCCAAATTCAGAGCTGTATCAAGCTTGAATGTTGTGTCCATACTTGCCCCAACTGTTCAGGGTTCGACCTCTGCGGTCGTATCAAGCTGCGCCCCAGCGAAGCATTTTATTTATTTTATAAAAACATGAATATTACACTGTGTGGAAAAGTTCTGCACCAAAGGCTTTTTTATATTCAGTTTCTGGTTTTGCTTTTTTATTTAGTTTCTTTTGTTTTTTTAAATTATTTAGCCTTAAAAACTTTTCCATATTGAAATTACTATTTCATAATTTGCCTCCAGATTGAACTTGTTTAACATTCAGAGAAGTATAAAAAATGGCTTTCAAATCTGGTCAACGAATACAATGTCCATCCTGTATTTTGCTTAGGCAACAACCATTTTCTTATCTGCGGGGGGGGGGGGGGGCTGGGATTTTTTTGAAAAAAATATTTTGATGGCCTAGCTGACCGAAAAAAAATTTAGATTTTGCACTGTAGCTGAAAATTTTTTTATGGTTTTGTGAAAAACATGATAGGGAAAAAAAATTTTGCTTTCCTTCTCATAAGAAAAAAAAAAAATTTATCGGAGGAAGGTTCTGAAAAAAAAATTATGAACACAATGAAAATCCCAGGCCCCCCCCAGATAAGAAAATGGTTGTTGCCTTAAAATAAACATACATGGACCATAGGAAAGTAATAAAATTATAAAATGTTTTATTTGTAACCCACTGATAGTCCCCACTGTATGCAAATTACATTTATTTTAGTCATTTCAAGAAATTAAAATCAGTGAGGTGGGGATCGTATAATAGGTTTTAGCACGCTGATTCAATGAAGTGTCAAGGTTGTCATAATAATGTTTTAGTTTGCCATCACTTCCTGGGTATATGCACAAGGATATGTCTTTTTTACCCTCTTTGCCATGGTATTTGCCTTTTTACCCTTCACACAATGCCTGATCATTTGTGTGTTTTATTAAATACAGTTAGTGAAAGAATTATGGTATAAAATCAAATATTTAACTTAATCATCCATATTGATATGCAGTGTAATTAAACAAATAATGCCCCAAGGGTGACTGCATGGGGAATAGAAATATGGTCACTACAGGTCTTCTTCCGACCGGCAGTAAAACCCTTACCAAAGTGGGGCGGCCATTTGGCTGTGCGGGATGTATCAAGTATGCAGCCACGTCCGGTCAGAAGGGGACGTTAAATCTGATGCCTCGTGGAGAGAGTGCCACGCTCTCTGCACGTTAAGAACCCTTTTAACAACTCTTTGAGGGGTCCGTAGGTGGCCTGCTGCAAGGCAAAATTTCTGTCCCTATCCAATATACCCTCATTTTCCAGTGGCAGCAGGGGTGTGGAAATGCTATGCCCGACTCGCCCGATTCGTCCATTTGAACAACCGGACAAGTAATTTTTGTCGAGCCTAGCTCGACATAGGGATACTGATCCGGCGGCGGCGGCGACGTTAGCTAACTTCTTAAATGCTTTATATTTTAGAAGCTAGAAGACCTGGATGCTTCATACTTTGTATATAGGTGCCTTATGTTACGAAGTTACTGTCTGTCATACGTCAATTGTCCTTGACCTCATTTTCATGGTTCAGTGACTACTTGAAAAAAAAGTCAACATTTTTTGTAATGTTTATTTCTTTCTTATTATGAGTAATAGGATAACTATATTTAGTATGTGCGTACCTTGCAAGGTCCTCATGCCCGTCAGACAATTTCCATTTGACCTCGACCTCATTTCATGGATCAGTGAACAAGGTTAAGTTTTCGTGGTCAAGTCAGATACTATAAGCAGTAGGTCTACTATATTTGGTATATGGAATAATTGTAAGGTGTACATGTCCAACTAGTAGGTGTCATCTGACCTTGACCTCATTTTCATGGTTCAGTGGTCAAAGTTAAGTTTTTGAGTTTTGGTCTTTTTTTCTAATACTATATGCAATAGGTCAACTATATTTGGTGTATGGAAATATTTTATGATGTACATGTCAGTCTCGCAGGTTTTATTTGACCTTGACCTCATTTTCACGGTTCATTTCTCAGTGTTAAGTTTTTGTGTTTTGGTCTGTTTTTCTTCAACTATAAGCAATATATCAACTATATTTGTTGTATGGAAGGATTGTAAGGATTATATGTCTGTCTGGCAGGTATCATCTGACCTTGACCTCATTTTCATGGTTCATTGGTCAATGTTAAGTTTTCATGGTTAAGTTTGTTTCTTAGATACTATAAGCAATAGGTCCACTATATTTAATGCATAAATTGATTGTTAGGTGTACATGTCTGCCTGGCATGGTTCATCTGACCTTGACCTCATTTTCATGGTTCATTGGTCAATGTTAAGTTTTCTTGGTTAAGACTGTTTCTTAGAAACTATAAGCAATAGGTCAACTATGTTTGGTTTATTGAATGATTGTAAGGTGTACATGTATTTCTCGTTTGGTTTATCTGACCTTGACCTCATTTTTTTGGATCATGTTAAGTTTATGTGTTACTTGTACTAAAGCTTTATATTTAGGACTATCAACATAAAATCAATGGTTAGTAAAGAAGGCGAGACATTTCAGTGTGTGCACTCTTGTTTTTGTCTGGGTTGCCCGTGGACAAGTAAAAAATTACAGTTGACAAAATTCATTTAATCAAAAATATAGAATTATTTTCATAATTTATTAAGATGTATTATTTTATGTAAAAGAAACCAATGATCAACAAGTGAAAAACATATATTTAAATCAAAACATCAATGTTCATGATGACAAGTATTAAAAAAAAACGGAAATAGATCAATAACCAAAATTAATAAAAATAAGGCCACATTTAAAAATATTTTGGTTTGCCCAAACCCTACCCAAAGGTAGAGACAGTGGGTAGGTAGGTAGGCATTTTCTTTTTTTTTTTCTGCAAAGAGAAATTGAAGTGTCAGATGTTTGTTAGTCTTCATGCCTATCTGATTAAAAAAAACTTTTTCACATCAGGACAATAAAAGATTTTGAGTAGGCAGCTATTTTCTGGGTAGGTAGGGTTAGGGCAAACAAACATATTCTTTTTTATGGCCTAAGTATGCGAACCCGGGTCTCATAAACATTGCGATATCTTTGTCCATTGACCCGGGATCGTCGATTAGGTTTTATTTGCCATCTCACAGAAGTGTTATTTTAATTTTTCATGATTGCATGGGTCTTATCGAGATGGATAAATACCTGATAAAAACACCAAGACCTGGTGATCAAGACAAAAAGAATGAAAATAATAATGATGAGTCGAGTAAAAAACGGAAAACACAGGTGGAGAAAGACAAGGAATATGAAAAAAATAAAAAAAAAAACAGAAGCGAGAATTCCAGACCTCGTGGCTCTTCAGTGAGAAACTTCTGAAAATAAATTAAATTTTTGCACAATTTGTAGGAAACGCCTTCATCTTGCTGATCAAAAGTCTTACTTATTTGTTGGCAAATTAATAGATAGAAGGGACACCAAAATCAATGTTCTGCAAAACACCAAGCTTGTCTGATGAAAGAAAACAGTAAAATTAAACAGGTGTCTGGGGAAATGGACAAAACATTGCCCTCTACTTGTCTTGTGGTTGTTTTGCTTTTGGGTTTCTATCTGATTGATGTTAACCCCATACCACCTTTTATTTATTCACAAACAATATCACAAACATCATTTATATTGTAATACAAAACAGTTTTACGGTGACCTATAGTTGTTAAATTCTACGTCATGTGGTCTCTGGTAGAGCAGCTCAGACATAAACAAGTCGTTTTTTGTTTTTGACTTACAGAAGTCAAAAAATGTATTTATTATAAAAATGTGTTTTCATTTTCAGACTTATTTAAGTCAGAAAATGACAGACTTGTTTAGGTCTATTTATGTTTATGAAAAGACTTAATTTTAATTGGTGGCCAAAGTGCACCACCTATGACATCATAAACCTGTCTGAGAGTTCACAAGGACCTGAGCTATCTGTATATAATCATGTAATTGAACATTTTTACTTAACATAAGATTATTTCCTCATTTTGTGTGGTTATAGATGGTTGAATTGTAAAGTAAATAAACATTATCTCCGTTTTTTTAGGCTCTCATGCATATTTTTCTTTAGAAGACAAAGCATTGTCTTTCAATGTTGTCATAATTTCATGTAGATGCATGACCTTTTTATAAATATGCTTGGGTCTTGAAGTTGACCAATTTTGGTAACTTATCGACTTGTAGGAATCAATATTTGCAACTTTATAATTCAGGTCAAATATTTCTTGCTTAACACTAATTGACTTATTGAAGTCATAATTTATCTTAAATTAAAGGGAGACAAATCTTGAAACCTACAAATATAGACCTCTATGAGTCAAAAGCAGATTTAGACTTATTTATGTCTGAGCTCTGACTGTAGAGAGTTGTCTCATTGCATGCAATCATACCACATCATTCTATTTTTCTAGTAAGAATCATACATGCTCATAGTAAAATACTTTTATATTTATAGGGAAATTCAGGGCAATTAACTTTTTTTCTGGACAAGTAAAATTTACAGTTTAACTTGCCCAGGGACAAGTGCTCACAACAAATATTTCCACACCCCTGGGCAGTCTAAATTTCCCTGACCTTCATCCCGGACAGCCTCTATTACAGGACCTACTTATTATATTTATCGTTAATTAATTTGTTCTCGTCCTGAACATGCATGAAATATTTGCCACTGGACATAAGGCAACCAACAATCAATCAATTAAACAAGTAAAAAATATGTGAACATGATATATATCTGTTCAATTATATGGTTAGAATTTTATATATGTATTAGATACACCTATGACAACATGTATGAGCGCGTAAGCCCGATTGGGTGAATCTAATTTACACCAAGATATTATTGTGAATGCAGAATGATAGTTTTCCATAATTTAGGAGGGGGGTCTTTCAGCGATTTGACCATATGTTATAGAAAAGCATGATAAATGCAGGATATCCAATTTCATTTAACGACATCTTGGTGTAAATATATATCTATATCTTTTAAACCTACCAATATTGTTTGGTTTCTATTGCAATGACTGTAGGTAAAATAACATTCATTGCTGAAATATATCCAAATTAGAAATGTGAATACATAAGCAACACAACAGGTGCCACTAGTGCCGCAGGAACTGCTTACACTCCCAGAGTACCTGTCCACCCCTACTTTTTTTTATAAAAGGGTTTATGCTGCTCAATCTTAGTTTTCTGTGAAGTGTTTTATTAAGTTGTCTGTATTTCTGTTGCTTTTCTTATTCACTATGGTGTTGTCTGTTTTTTTTATTGCCCTATGGTATCTACTTTCTCTTTTTAGACCGGTCATTTTTTGTTACATGTATGTATTAGATGTAAGCTTCTCGTATCTGAGGGTCGTCAGACCCGAAGATATGAGACGATTACATCTGATTTACATAGAAGTAATAAATAAATATTTCATCTTTTCTCTTGTTCTAAAAAAGAGCAATTAGTTTTTTTTATAAAACAGGAAAAGTGTCATTATCTCAAATTTTCCAGATGCAGTAACACTTTCAGAAGATGTTTTTTTTTTATATGGATTTGGAATGAAATCTTGATTGCGTCTATTTTTCTGTCATCAAATTGATACCTTATCACTGCTTTTGTATGGCAACATGAATCGCTGTACTATCTTGTCTTTTTTCTGGTTTAGTTGCCAAAACCGGAACTTTTTGCTGATAAATGATAACACTTCTATGAAATATAAATACCCTAATAAAAGCTATAATTACCAAAGTCCTCCTTTCCATACATCTTCTCTTTTTTAACTGTGATATACATGTATTTAGTTGATTTTGACAACTCATGTTCACGGATAGCTTGGTGAACTTCCTCCAAGGAATGTACACATAGAACCGCATATGTATGCAGATGTATCTGGGGTAGTAAGTCAGCAATCAGGCAAAAGTAGGTCACTTGGACCCCCATTTCATGCTTCAATGACTGGTTCAGTTTAATGTTCATATCTCAGCAACTATAATGTACAGGGGTAGTAAGTCAGCATCCAGCAAAGTAAGTCGCTGTGACCTATATTTAACTCTTTATTGACTTTATTGACTTTAGTCAGTATTTCTTAATGAAATTCAATGAAACTTTCACAGATTATTGTCATGGTGGATAACCTACGTCATTGTCACATGATTTGACCCCACGAAAAAGGTAAACAAAGCCCACTTTAAGACACGATATCTCAAGTTCTCCTGAAGCAAATAAAAAACTAATAAATGGCAAGACCCCTTTTTATGCCATATTAATCATTTGGAACAGAAATCAGATTTTGCAAACACTTCGAAAACATGACGTAGGTTATCCACCATGATTGTGCACCTTCTATTTTAAATTTTAATTCAAATGAATTTTGGGGTTTCCCATAGCAAAACATCACATAGGGGGGAGCAGGGGGTATCATTTAGTGAGCTTTGCTCACAGTATTTCTGGTTATATTACATATTAAATGCTGTTTTGTTCATAAAAAGACAAAGTGTTAACTTTGAAGAATGTCGTACATGTATTAGAATTTGGATTTTAGCATGATACTTATTATATCATAGGTTGAGGAAAAGGAAGAAAGATATCGATGGACATGGTGGATTGGAATACAGATCAGACCAGACGGCGGACAGTCAAATAGGTATATCATGGTGATTATGGAAGTTGCTGTTTTTGCCTTGTTGCTATTGTAGTCTTGCCCATTTGTGTACAGATCATTGTGTCTTCTATCCATGTAATATTGTATACACAATTTCTAGTGTTATCCCCTGCAGGCCTTTAGGGTTTTCGACTCATTCTTGTTAGAGAACTAATTAACAGAATTTGACCAAACTTGGTAGAGATTATCCCCATGAGGTCCCTTCCAATTTGTGTGACTTTGGTGCTGTTTCGTCAAAAAGCATGGCTGCCAGGACTAATCATGCTAATTGAATTTTCTTATTGGCCGATTTTTCTAAGATCTTCTTGAGAACGCATGCTGGATTGAACTGAAATTTGGTAGATATGTTCCCATTGAGATGTATTAATCAAGTTAATAAGTGTTGTTACTTTAGTAGTTGTTTGAAGATTGTAAATACATATAGCCACCAACCGAGGTCAAAGTTTACCATGTTACCCTGAAATCCTATTGGGAATGACATTTTTGTCTCGCCTGCAAGCATTAGGTCAACAATATTTGGTGTATGGAATGATTGTAAGGTGTACATGTCAGTCTTGCAGGTTTTATCTGACCTTGACCTCATTTTCACGGTTCATTGGTCAATGCTAAAATTTTGTGTTTTGGTCTTTTTTTTTCTAATGCTATAAGTAATAGGTCAACTATAGTTGGTGTATGGAATGATTATAAGGTGTTCATGTCTGTCTGGCAGAGTTCATCTGACCTTGACCTCATTTTCATGGTTCATTGGTCAATGTTAAGTTTTCCTGGTTATGTCTGTTTCTCAGTTACTATAATTTAGCAATAAGGCCAACTATAATTGATATATGGGATGATTGCAAGATGTACGTGTTTGTCTGGCAGGGTTCATCTGACCTTGACCTCATTTTCATGGTTCATTGATTAATATTAAGTTTTGGTTTGGTATGTTTCTTGTATACTATAAGCAATAGGTTAACTATATTTGGTGTATACATGTAATGATTGTAAGGTGTACATGTCTGTTTAGCTTGGTTTATCTGACCTTAACCTTTACCTTATTTTAATGGATCATTGATAATGTTAAGTTTATGTTATACTTGTTGTAAAACTTTATCTTTAGGACTTACAACATAGAATAAATCATATAAAGCAGGCGAGACATTTCAGCATGTGCACTCTTGTTGTCTTCTGTTTGAGAATTACTAATCAGAATTTGTCATTATTTGACCAAACTTAGTAGAGATCCTTCCTATGAGGTCCTCAACAAATGTTGTTACTTTGGTGCCAATTTGTCAATAAATATAGTTGACAATCATTATCTTAAGTGGGGGAATGCTTTAGTGGGTGGGACATATTATTTTTTTTCGTGACAAATACACTTTTTCTGCTTTATTCTATTAGATGGATGGATGGATGGTTGCTTAACGTCCAGTGGTAGGTCAGATGCATATTCAGGACGAGAGCATGATAATGAGAAATGAATACTAACCCTGCTTTGTACTAGACCGACACGCTGAGCCGGATTTTTTACGTGCTAGCTCACAAGGTAACAGTTCGCAGGAAGACATGTCACCCTACCCGGACACATTATTCTGACTCCGGGCCGACCAGTCTTTGCTCTTACTCCTTAATGCTGCGTGCTTAGCAGAGAAGCAGCAAATACCAATTTTCAAGTCTTTGGTTTGA